CGTGCCGGCTGTGAGGGGCGCCGGGGCCGGGCTCTGCTGCTGGGCTTCAGCCCGAGTAGAGCCTGCGCGGGAGGACTGTGGTTCCGCCTGTACCCCTGTGAGCTACAAGGCCTGAATTCGTGAAGTTGGGACAGCTGAAAGGTGAGTGGCTAAATTAACGACTTGTGAAGGGCTCTTTTGGTGGCTGTTTTTGTAGTCCTCAGGAAAGAAATGAAATATTTATTTTTAAAATTCCTACTTACTATCCCAGCCACTGTGCCTTTTGTTCCCAAAGCCCTCACAGGATGTGCTGGGAGCTGCCTTGAACTATCCCTGATGCTGTGAGTTTATCGCTTTGATCCCTGTGAAGTTGTAGGCCAGCTGGGGAGGGAGCACACACACCCGTTGACTGTTTTGTGTCTTGGGGATGGGGGGGCTATATGTTTAACAGTGCCTGGCCTAGGCTGGCGTGCTAGTAAAAGAAGGTAGAGGCAAAGTCACATAGCCCTGTGCTATGGGAAGGGAATGCATGTCTTGGCTTGGCAGGTTCTCTTGGTACAGGAAGGCTAATGAGGCACCTGAGTTTTGCCTGCCCCAAGAAAAGCCGTGGTAGGTATTTTTCGGTGTCTTAAGTCTGAATTTTCTTGCAGGTCATCAGCTGCAAATTACAAGCCTGACGAGGAGACAGAGGCAGGATGGGGAGGAGGAGCAACCTGCTTCAGCAAAGGTCGTGTAGCAGGTGAGTAGTAATTAGGACACTACATTGTGCCAGTGTGAATACAGCAGGTGTGTTTACCAGATAGAAGAGGTTCTATATGTTGTTATGCTTCAAAATGTGTTTATTGAAATTGGTAATGATTTTTGTTTTTAAATCAGTCCATAATGATTCCTAGGATTACTCAAGATCAATGTACTTTATGAAGATTATTGGCTTTTTAAAATTTATGCTGATTGCCCATTAAAGTCACTTAGTTGTGCAAAGAAGTGGTTTCTTAAATTGCCCTGGTTTGTTATCAAGATAGCGGCCAAAGGAGTTGCAAGATGAAGTGGCTTATGAATTAGTTGGAAGTAGGGCTTAAATTCAGAATTTGGAGAATTTTCAAGCCTCACAATAAGGAGGAAGTGTAACTATCAAAGGAGTGCAGTTATAAAACAGATCTTCAAACCAGGTAGGGATGTTATACATTTTTATAGAATGCAATGTGTGGGTCGCCACGCCAACAAAGGCACAGGATAGGAGTGATTCCACTCCCCCCCCCCATTTCAATATGGAATCCTCAGATAGCTCTGAGGAAGAACCAAGGACTCCTTTTGATTTAATTTTTCTTTTCCTTCTTTTTATTCATAGTTTATTTTCTGGCATTCCAGCAGCCAGGAAGGATTGCCTTCATTTTACCTTCTGCTGCTTTTTTGATCTGTGGCAAGGTTTCTAGGGTTCTGTTCATTCCATCACCCTTTGGATCATTAGGGATTTGTCATGTCTGAAACCAGGGTGCTAAACAGCTTGTGCTGCTCCTCAGTGGTGATGGAACATTTTGACTGTTACTCTGCTGAGTTGGATGGGTGTTGAAAAAACAAAAAACTTAAAAACTTCTTTTTCCTTCTTTCGCCTGCCCTTCTTTCGCCCTTCTTGTTTTTAATTTCCACATGTATAAACAGTAAGCAGTAATATTCAGAAGAATGGCTGAGCCTCAGAGATCTTCCTGCAGTGTCGTGTGCTCAGGATACTTCAAGTTGCATCAAGATTCATGTTTTTTAGTGTCTATCTTCTAAAAGTGACTTGGCTGAGGATTTAGCTCTGGATGCAAAGTCGGTTGGTTTTATCGTTTGAAAGCCCCTCAGCTGTTAGGAGAATTTAGCTCCTTTTTAAGTGTCACAGTTTAATGTTTGAGTTAAAACTGTACCTGTGGGAGGATATTCATCAATTAGTCTTCTCTTTGGAATAAAGGCAAGAACAGGGAGGGAGACGAGATATTCTTGTATGTGACAATTTGAGATAGAATGTAGGTGGAGTTTTACGTTGTTACTAGGAAGACGCAAAGGGTGTAGGAGCCAGTGGTGAGGGTTTCTAGTCTTCTTCTAAGCTGTGTAGTTAGACTGGTTAAACAGAATGTAGTAGCTCTCTCTTGGGGAGGTTGCTAGTGTTACGTCCATTACAGTTTCTATACCCTACAGGATGCTGAGGGACAGGGGTGGTTGTGTTTGTTCCCTGTGCTCGTGGAAGTGTTTGGCTATGGGGCTGGGCAAAGTTTTAGCTAAGCCAAGTGGTGCTGAAGAAGTGAGGTGCTGGGACATGGGACAGTTATGGCTCTTGATTGAGTGGGAGCATGTGACTGAGTGAGGAGTAAACCTCGAGTGACCTCTGGTCAGTTTTTTGCAAGCTTTCGGAGCTGGTTATGACAGTAGTGCAGAGTGCTATGATTATGGATGGGTAGTCTGCTAGGAGTTTAGTGTTGCATGTGGCTGTATAGAATATAGTGTGTGACTCTATTGTCCAGGCCTTGGGTGGTTTTATGGTGAAGGCTAGGCATTATTCTGTTGTGTCTGGTCATGCATGAATGAGAAGAAAGGTGGGTAATTTAAAGAATACTTAAATATAACTTTTCAGTTTTACATGTGGAAAAGGATGATGGTTAGAGAAGCAGAAATTGATTCCACCATTTAAATGGCTTGCTTGTATGCCCCATTGATAACCACCAAAGTTGTGACTGAGGTTGTTCCTAACCAGGCAGTTTCTATAGCTGAAAATGCTCTGCTTGGGGAGGAAAAAGAAAATATGTAGGTATAAATACTTGGTTTTGTGCTGGTGGCTCCTGCAGCGTATGGTTTTGGTGGTGTTACCATAAAGGCCTTAGTATAGTTAGAATGGCAGGACTTTGTTGCTTATTTAGCATAAGATTTAGGAATGTGTTAGAAACCTTTGCCTTCAAGCTGCCAAGAAGAGCCGTTAAATCAAGGGAGCTGGCCTTGAAGGAGGTAAGTACACCCTGAGAAGACTGCTTGTTAGTGTTTGGCTAGTTCTGGCCGAAAAGTAGTGCCTGAAAGTAACCTTATCCTTCATTATAATACCAAAAATCAGACCCCCTGGGGAAAAGACCCCTGGATCCCTACTCACTGAACTTGCGCAGTGTGAAAATGCTGACCAAGGGTTATGTAAGTGAGGTTACCAGCCTGCAACATGGGACTGCCACATGGTCTGAAACTTACTGGTAAGAAATTGAATGAAGGAATACCTGCTTCAACACATGGTATGCATGCTAGGAGGAACTCTGACCCGTGCATCTGGCACTGTAGTAAAGAATGCTTGCTTTCTAAAATCCCAGCTGTGTTTCAGTGAGTTTCTGCTTTTGCCGACTTACGGTATCAGTGGGCTAATAGTACAAAGGGACAATGCAAGCAAGGTGGGGCTAAGGGGAGTTGGAATATGCTCAGCTCTTAAATAATGGTCTGATAAGAAGAGGTCAAGCTCTACAGGGCTAACAGGGCAACAGCAGCATGTTCGGAGTGAGCAAAGGAGTTAATTGGGCTTGATAGATCTGTGGGGATTAGAGTTGGTGTTGCTGGGAGGTCACAGTGATGTAAATGGCAGAAGCTGTGTGTTGGTGGTGAGCCAGCTGTGTGGCTTTGCTGGCTCTGCAGTCTCAGAAGGCAAACCTGTGTACAGCTGTCAGTGTGGATGAAAGGGGCTCAGCTTTGGGTGTTAGTCTGCGAGGACAATAAAGTGTGTTCTGCTGCAGTGGCAATGAAACCAGGTTTGGTGGAAAAATACAGTGCAGTACTGCTGTGAATGAATGCTGGACAGAAGCTGAGCGTAGTAGAACTACCAT